AAAAAAAAAAAAAAAAACCGAACCAAATATTCGGTATCGGTTTTGATCCAAACCGAATTCTCAACTTCGTTCAGTTTAGCTCAATTACCCATATTTTGTGCACCCCTAACGTATGGTTTGTAAATCCAAGGTTGTTATCATGTACTCCAGTATTGGAAATTTTGTTGTACTCTGGTTCTTTGGAATAAAGTTCATCGTTTAGAACAAACAAACAATAATCCGTTTGGCGAACTAAAGGATTTAAAAGAACTATATTGGACTTGCAGAATACATGGTTGTTTTCTTTCATTTTCGATGTTTCACCTCCTTTTACCTTGTTGACGCTCTTGCAGTCATGGACGTGTGGTAATTAGAGCTTCTCTGCTTCCTATACGAAGAGTAGACATCGTCATACTGGCTCGGCTCGTTCGAGTCAGCTGCCGCCCCAAGCCCGAGACGGCCAGAACCGGGCTTCTGCTCCACGCCGCCATCATCATCATTCAGGCCCGGTGGTGGGGGAATGCACGTCCCACCCTTGCGTACAACAAACTCTTCTCTCCCGTACTCATCATCACCAGATTCCGACGGATTTACGGATGGGTTGACCTCCCCAATCTCCCTAAAGAATTTCGAGACCCTTTCAAGGACTTCAGAAGGGGGTACAGTTGAGGGCGGGATAACAGTGGGGATGTCAAGGGGGCTCATGGGTGAGTACGGAACTCCACTTCCGATTTGCATTTTCCGGACCATGCCGGGGATGAGGCCAGGTGGGAAAAGAGGGTATGGGGGAGGAATCTTTGCCGGAGGGGTTTGGAGATTTGGCTGTGGGATGGGGGTGAAGCTGACAGGAGGGAGGTGAAACTGCTGAGGTGGCAGGGGGGGGATTGAGGGAGGCTGCTTCTCGGGATATTCATCAACGGGTATGGGTTTCTGCTTGTCTGGCTGCCAATGCAGCTGATTATGGTTAGACATCTGGTGCATTCCTGTCAGGACAGAGGAACAGAGAAACGAATTGTAATCGTTAAATTTTCCTTGCCATGCCTTCGTTCGAAATAATCTTTTGAATTGTAATCGTTAAATTTTCCTTGCCATGCCTTCGTTCGAAATAATCTTTCTTAAGATCAAGAAGCAGAAAGATTAGTATTTTTACACTAACAGATTATTATCCATGACACGGTTATTCAATTCCACAGATTTTCTCAAGTTTAGCAAAAAGAATTATTATTATATGTTGCGGAGACGGATTACTATCGTTAATCATCCATGACTAAGATACTTAATTCAAAACAACATTTCTGAAGTTCAGAAATACTGAGTAGCATAGCATAGTGACTAAGATACCCAAATTTTATTTTGTCATCCCAACTCATGGGTGCCCAATTTCTCCAAGTTTCTCAATCAGGATGCAAACTTAGTTGTGTTTTTCTCACAATAGGATTCAAATTTTCAATTCTCAATTTGAGATTGGTAATATACTTTTGTTCCCAAACCAAGGGTCATAATAAAACCACTGTGGAGAAAGAAAAGCAAAATTGAAGCCAGATTTGAGAGGGGGGAAAGAAATGGAGCCCAGAATTGAGACAAAACAAACTACATTCAAGTCCTTTGCAGATATTCTCCCAAATAGAAACCCCAAATAACTTTCTTTACTTCACATATACTCTTGACACATGTTTCACTTTTACAAATGGAACCCTGTGGAAGTGGGAAGGGGATTGCTTGTACCACTTTAAGGATATATTTATAAATTATAAGTTAAAGATATAATTTGAAATCTATGTAACTAATCTAAAACTCGTGAACATTTTTTTCCATAATGACCCCTAAATAAAGAGTTAGGCACAGTGAAGCTACCTGGCGTAGCTCCAGCAACAGCAGATGAATCTGTGTGAGGACCTGGAAAAGGATGTGGTGGCAATCCACTCATCATCTCATTTTCAAGCCTAAAAATAGTATCCTGATCATAAACCTCCTTCGTGGCCCAGAATTGCAAAATTTTCTGAAGACGTGACTGGTTTTCATCCTTGTTCTGTGGGTTTTGGCATATCCTTGCCAGCATAGAACCCAAAACCGGCTTAAATGAAAGGGCTTCATTGTCGAGCTCCTGAGGGTTGACACGCCTCTGCAAGCTGTATGTTTGAGGAATCATATGTAAATATGTGATAATACAAAATTGAGTTCTCAAGATGTGCTTCCCTTATGCTATATTTGGAATTTTGGATTTGGAAGGAGAGGAAAAATATCCCAAGAAAGGCACAAAGTGTAATAACTTAAAGCACATGGTTTTTCTAGGTAGTCCTCATAATAAAGGCAAAATGTTAGAGAGAGGTTCAAACATGATGTGGCCAAAATAAATCCATTAACTAAAAATCCATGAAAATCATAGCCCCATTACACCTAAAATGAATAGTAAACCTACTTGGATGAGAAGGTACGGCAGTGAAAAGTTGGAGGGGTCACGAAACCACAACCCCACTTAAGAACTACAAGAGCACATAAGGTGTGTTCTAGTTGATAATAAACACGTGTAATGTCAAAGTACTTCAAGTAGCTAGTGTGCACAAAAGAAACCATAACTAATCTTTTCAACCTGTCTCGTTGGTCCACAGATTCACATTAGAAGAATCAACTTATTGTTAATTAATAAAAAGAAATATTCCCAGAAGCATTTCATATGATTTGAAATCAGTATTCACAACCATCCTCATATTCAGCACTATATATGTAGTACATGAGTAAAAACAAGCATGTTACGTCCATATAGAGACGATCACAAGCTAAGAAAAGTAAATTACAGAAATTTAAAACAACCAAAACCAACCTGTCAAACAGAATATCATTTGCGAGGTAAACAATATGAAGCTGCCTCTCAGAATCGTCCAATGAGAACACCCGGTCCCGGAGTGCCTCAGCCAGAGCCGCCAGAAAGGGCGACCTCTGCATAAACCAAGTCTTTGCGCTCTTTATCGACTCTTTCGTACCTGTGAGGTTGTTCAGGATCCCGTTCATCTCCATCTCCACGTCCAAAGGCAGCGGTCTGGAAAGACCCTTGAAAGGCCTGCTGTAAGCCTGATCGAGTAGTTCAGGACGGCCAGGGCCCACCATCGGCTGAGCTTGATGAGGATGCTGCTGGTCGTAATACACACCAAATGGAGGCTGCTGCAGGTGAGCATTAACGGGCCCCAGGCCCATCATGGGGTTCGGAGGAGGATGCATGGCCGGCATCGAAGGCGGGAAAGGAGGACTGAATGGGCCCACAGGCGGCCTTGTTGTCACAAAGAGCTTGTAACGGTAGTAACTATGGCCATCCCCCCCAAAAAGAAAGGCGTAAGCAGGGTTATCCTGTTCCCTTTCGCGAACAACAGCCTCAAACTCGGGCCCATTCTTTACGGCGTACTCAACCAGTTTGTCGATGCGCTTCTGGAGTTCGGGATCGGACGGTGGTGGTGTCGGGGCTAGTTCATACTGCTGCCCGTGAAAGGGGGGTGGGACAAGGTGAGGGGGCAAGTGGGACGGGAAAGAAGGAGGTGGACCCTGTTGATGGAGGTGGGGGTGGGGTGGGTGGGGATACATTTGGCCCGGCTGTACAGGTCGGGAATAGGCGAACTGTTGGAGGGAAGGATGAGGTGGCATGAAAGGTGGTGGGCCGCTGTGGCCAGATGAGGGGAATTGTTGGTGCTGGGGGTGGAACCCATACTGCTGCTGCTGCATGTTGGCCGCTTGTTGCTGCTGTTGCTGACTGTAAGCCATGGGAGGACCGTAATCGTGGGGCGGTCGATCCATGCGAAAATCGAGGAGAAGATAGGAGTCTGTTGAAGAGGTAGTAATTAATTAATTGATTGGCAAATGCGGTTGTAAAAGAAACAGGAGTAGAGTAACTTGTCTGTATGTATTTCCATGGTGCATGAATAAATCTCAAGGGATTCCTCTTACCAAAGGCAAGGATATTAAGATTTTGTAGTAATATGACGAGAATAGAGTAGAGGAAATAGTGGACACATCGTTTTGGGTGTTTTCACATTTGGTTGATAGTGCTCACTTTATCTTAGATTAATCACTGAAAGTGCGAGAAAACGTGATACAGATACAACATGATATATAAAAGGGAGCAGAAAACTTCAAGCACGAGTTAAACAATTGAAGATAACAATTAATTTTAGTTTCTGCTGATCTAATATTAAAGAAGTCCAAACAATAGTGTGAATATTTGGTATTGCCTAAATTTCTCCAGTAACTAAGGTAGGCAAAATTCTGAAAATCATGTCCGAGTATAGAAGGAGCCTATATAATTAGAAATGAGGATACCCAAGAATAAGGAATGAAGGATAAGACCAAGAATATGATTCTAGACATTAAAAAGCAGTGTGGGCTGAAACGTTTTCATTATTAAATCTTGTAGACATTGTGCAAAATTAGAATGCAACATATGGAAATTCTAATTGTTCTGCTCGGCTTCTTGGGCTACCTAACTTTTTCTACAAAGCAAAAACTCTTACCGGTAAATGTATTCAATGTCACAGTCGGTTCCATCATTTATTATTGTTAAATTATTCATAGTTTTTAAAGAAGATTATATTTCCATTTTGTTTACATGACTTCAACTTCTTGTCCTTATGTAGGCAGAACCCACCACCAGTCCTAAGCAGTCCAATCACCTTAATCTTTATATGAAGTTAATTTACTCGCATGATTGAAGTTATTTAGATAGCTCCCACAAGAAATACCACACAAATTAACGTGCAGCTCAACAGTCATCAACTTCAAATGAAAATGCTTATTATTTTTCCAATATGATTTAAGGTTCAAAGGTTCGAGCTTTCCAACACAAACTATACTGAAAAAAAAAAAAAAAAAAAAA